TATATTCAAATATCTTTCCATATTATAGCACAGAAAGTACAGTTATGGGCTCTTGAACCAATCTTCCAAGCTGTGTTACCTTAGCCAAATTATTTAACCTCTCTGTGTTTCTGTTTCCTCTTCTATGAATAGTATTAATACTGTCCTATCAGGTTGTTGAAAAAATTTTTAATTAGGCAATCTAGGTAAAATGCTCAATAAATGTTGCTATTATTATTATGTATTCATTCATTTAGAGTACTTCTACTTCCAGCCAAGATGGAGTAACAGAGACTAAATTTACCCTCCCACGTGAAACAACCAAAAAATGGACAAAATATATGAAAGAATGGTTTTCAAGGCACAGACATCAGACTACAAAAGACAGTGATTCTTGACTAATTATGTGAGCACTATGATTGCCACAGTTTACTGCCTTAAGAGAGATTCCAGGCTGAGGTGCAGGGAACGAGAACTCAGATGGAGACCAGTAGACTTCCTGAGTTGAGGAAATGGAACTGAGAGTCAGGGGAGTTGAAGATGACTAAAGTTCTAAGGACAGAGTACGAGAAAAGATTGCTGCACAAAGAGAGAACTATGGAGATCTACAGAGGGTCTCCATTGAGTATTTAGCTAAGTACAGATTAGTGCATACACTTGAGGAAACTACCTGAGGTCAAGCTTTCCACCTGAAAGAATTAGAAGCAACAGTGCCTGGCACACACACAGAGCCTAAATAGTTTCTGTTCTCACCAGCCAGACTGGAAAACATCATGATTCTGGGAGTATTGGGTAAGATGCACAGAAGATTCTTGCCTCAGTAGTGAGGAATAATTAGCCTTAGGTGGAACACTCCTCCAGTCCTGCCTTAAAAAGTCTTAAAAACAAGACCTAAAACAATAAAACTGTTTCCAAGCTATATAACTGGATACCATAAAAAAGGTCAAGAATATTTATAGGAATACAAAAATATCCAACACCCAAGTAAGGTAAGATTCACCATGTGTGGCACCCAGCCAAAAATTATCAGGCCTGAAAAGCAGCAGGAAAATACAAGTGATAATGAGAAGAAAAATCAATCAAAGCTGACCCAAAATTAACACAGTTAAAATTAGTAGACAGTTACATTGAGACAATCATTATAATGTATTCTACATGTCCAATAAGTTAAGTACAAATATGAATGACATAGAAAAGATCCAAATTAAAATTCTAGAAATGAAAACTACAATGAATGAGATGAAAAGTACATGGAATAGGAAACAGCAGATTAAACATTAGAGAAGAAAAATTAGAGAATGTGAATACAAAACAATAGAAACTCCCAAAATGAAGCAATTCTTTTAAGAAAAAATGAGCAGACCATCAGTGAACTGTGGGACAACTTCAAGTGGTTGAATATATGTGTAACTGGAATTTACACATATAAGTACATGTGCTTACTGGCCATTTAAAAATATATAGCTAATAAGCTTAAAGAGGAGACAAAATAAAGCACCAAGTATGTTCAACTAATCCAGATAGATGGGACAAACAGAAATACAATAACAAGCTGGGAGACTTGAACCCAACAATATTGATGATTACATTGAGTGTAAATGGAGTAAACACACAAATTAAAAGGCAAAGAATGTTAAACTGGATAAAAGGGCATAACTCAGCTACGATTCTGTCAACAAGAAGCACTCTTTTAAAAATGCAAATAAGTTAAAAATAAAGGAATGGTAAAAGATATACCAAGTAAATACCAAGCCAAAGAAAGTTGGAGGTACTATATTAATGTCAAACAAAGTAGATTTCAGGACAAGCAAATTACCAGATAAAGGAGTCAAATCATCAATCTAATAACCACCAGTTGCCATCAAGTCAGTTCTGACTCATGGCAACCCCATGTGTTTTGGAGTAAAATTGTATTCTATAGCACTTTCAATGGCTGTGATCTTTCAGAAGTAGGTGGTCAGGGCTTTCTTCCAAGGTGCTTCTGGGTGGACTCAAACAGCCAGTCTTTCGGTTAGTAGCGAAGCGCTTAGTTGTTTGTGCCACAGTTTAGCAAAAACTGACAGAACTAAAAGGAGAAACATACAATCCACAATTAGAGTTGGAAATTTCATCATACTCTCTCAGTAATAGAACAAGTAGACAGTAAATCAGTAAGAAGTGAACAGTACTATGTACCAACTCGATCTAATTGACATTTACAGAATGCTACACCAACAACTCCAGAACACACATTATTTTCAAGTACATATGAAATATTCACAAAGACTGACAATATATGGGGCATAAGACAACTCTCAACAAATTTAAAGAGACTGAGATAATACAGAGTATATTCTCTGATATCAACAAAATTAAATTAGAAATAAATAACAAAAGATACTTGGAAAATCCTAAAATTATTCTAAAATCAAACAACACATTTCTAAATAACATATAGATCAAAGAAGAAATCCCAAGAGAAATTAGAGAACATTTTGAACTGAATTAAGATGAAAATGTAACATACCAAAATTTCTGAGATGTAAGTAAAGCAGTGCTTAGAGAGAAATTTATAGCTTTAAAGTTTAAAAATAGATTATCTTCAGTTTCTCCTTAAAAGACTAGAGAAAGAAGAGCAGCAAATTAAGCCCAAAAGAAGTAGAAGGAATGACATAATAAAGAACAGAAATTATAATGATCTAGAAAATGGACAAATAGAGACAAACAATGAAAAAATAAGTTGGTTCTTTGAAAAGATCAATAAAATTGATAAAAATTTTCTGCAGTGATCAAAGGAAAAAAAGAGAAAACAATGAAATAGTAGATACTACTATACCCCAAAGACATTTTTAAAAATAAGGAAATACTATAAAAAAGAACTTTCTGTCAGTAAATTTGACAACTTGGATGAAATGGACTAATTCACTGAAGGACACAAATACCCTATATCTATTAAGCATGAATTCATAACTTAAAATGTTCCCCAAAAGAAAACCCAAGGTCCAAATGTCTTCAACAGTGAATTCTACCAAACATTTAAGAAATAATACCAATCTTATACAAAATCTTCAGAAAAGAAGAAACATTTGTATAACTCATTTAATAAGGTTATTATTCTGATGCCTAAACCAAAGACATGACAAGGAAAAAAATTACATACCAATACCTCTCATAAACAAAGACATAAAAATTCTTAACAAAATGTAAGCAAATAGAGTATAGCTATATATAAAAAAGATAATACATCATAACCAGGTAGGGCTTATATTAAGAATGCAAGATTAGTTTAACATTTAAAAAAATCAATCAATGTGATTCATCATATTACAAAAATAGAAAAATCAAACATTATTCTGAGTGAAAAAAAAAAAAGACACAAAAGAGTACCCAAAACCAACTAAACCCATTGCCGTAGAGTCGATTCCAACTTACAGCGACCCTATGGGACAGAGGAGAACTGCCTCAGAGGGTTTCCAAGGCTATAAATCTTTACAGAAGCAGACTGCCACATCTTTCTCCCATGGCTACTGTGCTCAAACTGCCGACATTTCGGTTAGCAGCCAAGCGCTTTAACCAGGGCTCCTTTACAAAAGAGTACTTACCATATTATTCTATTTATATGAATTGCTTGAACAAGCAAAACTAATCTATAATGAGAGAATGTGGATGAGTAGTTGCCTGCGGTGGAAGGTTGAGGGGACTGCAAAGAGTCACAAAGAAACTTCCAGGGATGATGGAAATGCTCTTCTCACTTATCAGATTTTGAAGACACAGTTGGTATCCCATTTAAATTAGGTCTTGCAGAAGAGTTAAGATATAGAGTTGCAGAGATGGGAAGAAAAGGGATTCTACATAGTAGGAAGTTATGGGGTAAATATGGGGAACAGCTGACAGTTTGTTTTATATTTTAAAATTTACTTTATTGAAGTATAATTTACATATAATAAAAAGCACCCATTTTAAGTTAATACTTTGATGAGTGTTAAGAAATTATACAGACCCATGTAACCACCACTCTATAGAAAGCGTCCATTTAAAAACTGCAAGTTCAAGCTGTTTTTATGTTTAATAATCATAATTTTAAAATATAGGTTTCATAATTCAACATTAAAACCAAAACACAATGGAAGAATAAGACAGACTATAAAGAGCACAGGCCTTGGAATCAGTTCTAGATTTCAGTCCTACTTCCCAAACAAGTCACTTAATTTCTCCAAGCTTCAGTTTCCTCATCTGTAAAATGGAGATTATAAAACCAACCTCTCAAGATTGCTGTGAGGATTAAAATTAATAATGTTAAGCATTCTAGCACAATGCCTGGAATATAGTTGGACCAATAAATGGTATTAGGCTTATCATGATTAGACAGACATTTATTGTATAGTTACCCTCAGAGGTATGGTATGGACTCTAGAACCTGTTGGCAAGGGCTTTGAAATAGTCCTAAATGACACCTTTAAATAATGAACCGAAATGGTAAAGTAATTCTGAGTGTAGCTTCCCTACTGGTTCTGTTTCACAATCAGTAGTGAAGGCTCCAAAGTATTTCATGCTCAAACATATTGATTGCTTCAATGTGGATGGCTATTTCAGAATTGATTATGGAATGAACTTAAAGCCGGACACTTAAAAGGTTTTTCCCCTCAGTTTGTCAGACCATGAGAAACTGGGGAGACCACACCTCTAAGATTTGCCCACACAGCCTGGTCCTCTTGCCTGCCCAACCACCTGCTCTGTCTCTGTCTCTCCGGCTCTCCAATGCCCTGACTCCATACTCCAGCTCTGAGATCAGCCTCAGGTCTGTCTCCTGGAGCCAAGACCCACTTGTTCAGTTTACCTGCTTGTCACCCCACACATTCAACTCTGCCAGTGGACTGGATCGCAGCCAGTACCTACTGCACTACTGGGTAAGATATCCCTTAGCTAGTCTCAGTTTCCTGGGGACCCCTCCCCCCAGCTGCCACCTTCCCTGCCAGGGACACATAGGACACAGTTGCAACCATAATAGAATTCAAGGGTCATGAGGATGGAGTGCCATCTACCTGAGCAACAAAGAGCTGGAACTCGTCAGGCAGAATCCATGAGCGAGGGTAGAAGTTGTACTCGTCAGGAAAGAGCTCCTGCATGATTCTCACTGCTCTGCTCAGAGTAATTTTACGCACCATCTCCGTCATGCCTGAGGAGAAGAGAAGCTGTGAGGTTTTAACAACAGTGGGCCACTAGCTATAAAACAGCCATTATTTGGGACTTTTAAAATCACCCACCTGACATATTCACTCTTTTTCAGACAGGATTAAAAATGGTATTCATTGTTCCCCATAGCAGTGACTCATGGTTTGGAAAGACCTACCAAATTAATGAAAAACTTGAGGTAACAGACAGACTTCTTTTCTCCCTATAAAATTTGAAGCATCAATGAGTTTTCACCTAGTTTATTATTCCATTTCTTGTCAGCCCACTAGACAATGAATAAAGAGAAGCATTGATATCTTGCACTTAAAACTTAATATCCTCTTTAAATTTTGGCCACCATGCATACTTCTGGGCTTCCTTCCACCCTGTACCCTGGAGAATATTATCTAGTGGACTCTGGTTACATTATAAGAAGCTTAATTAAGTTGCTTTGTTTTAATCTTTCATGAGTATTAGAGGTATAAAATAGAAAAATATATACCTTTCAGCATAAAATCTGTCTCCTTGAATTGAGGACAGGAAGTGGAAAGGATACCATAGCATAATTTACAGTTTAAGGGGAAAAATGTAACAGCAGAAGTTCTTCAGTTATAAGTGCTGACATTGACATTGATCAGATCTCATTAATTTTCCCCAGAAGGGATTGAAATTTCTCACTTATAACACACTTTAAAAGAGTGGTAGGTTTTTTTTTTTCTTTTAACATCTTTAGTAACTGACAAGAGGAGAAACTGAGTATCTATCTTAGCAAATTTTAAGCAAATAAATGAAAATTATTTTAAGTTTTACCGTGATTATTTTTAAAAGTGAATACCACTGCTAAAAATAAAGAGTATAAATAACCCTCACCTTGACAGTTCCACTCCTAACACTAGAAACTTGCTTAGCAAACTTATTTTTAATAAAAAGTACAAAGTCCCATGTCAGGCTTGGCATGTCCAAAGTATCACACCTTCCAAATGGGCACAGTCAGAATGAATGAAGTTTCTCTCAAGTTCCATGTTCAGGAAATGAAGAGTGAACATCTGAGGATGAAGGCTTTAATAACCAACTTCTTGCTTCCCTCCGCATATTAAAAAGAGCAATAAATCTAAAGAGCACAGCCTCAAGATGTCAGTGCCCAGATTCTTAATTCTTGTTTAGGGTATGGGAAGGATTAAGTAAGAAATAAACGAGCTTAAAAAGGCCCAGTAAACTGTGCTCTAATGTGGACTTTTCAATATTGAAGAAAACTCACTGAGAGCACTGTTTTGAGCTTTCCAAGAAATAAGCATGAGTCCAGAAAATTATCTATACCTCCTTTTATCCCCCCACAAAATTAGAATCTTTGAGTTATAAATGCTGAAGTAGAACACAAAGTAAATAAAACAAAATTTCAACATTTTTTAATCTTTTTACCTTTGACTATTTCGACTAGTATTTGACTAACATTCTAGTTATAATATTAAGCTAAAAGCTTTCACAATTAACTGTAATACAGCACCTTACACCAAGTAGATGATGCCTACTGACCACATAGTATCACAGTATTTTCTGTATTCTGATGGCTATGTGGCAGGGGAAGATTCTCTTTCAGAAAGCCCTTGGCACAGCACAAACGGGACTGCTGTGAGTGCAGGCACTCAGTTTCAATGTGAACATCAAAGTCCAGCTATTTGAGTATATGCATTTCAAATCTGCAATGTTCCTTTTGTAATGTGCATAATCAGTCCCCACAGCAGCTAATAGGTCTGTTTCCAAGTGTACCTTTGTGTTTCCAGGCAGTTCTCTACAGCCAGCTTAAGAAGCAGCCTACACGTATGGGAGTACATCCACGAGCATGTACAGGTTTGGCAGAGGATATTTCTACATGCGTATTTGCATGTGCTGCAAGATATACATGTATACAGTAGAGCACATAGGGGACAAAGTTATGAAAACTCCTTAGCTATAACCAAAACCTTGAGAGACTAAGTCACTGGACTTGAGGGCTTAGGACCATAGTCTAGGGTAACATCTAGGTCAACTGGCGTAACATAGTCCATAGGATGTTCTACATCCTACTTTAGTGAGTAGTGACTGGTGTCTTAAAAGTTTGCAAGAGGCCATGTAAGATAACAACTATTGGTCTCTTCCTGATAAGAGCAAAGAAGAGTGAAGAAAATCAAATGCTAAAGGAAACAATTAGTCCAAATGACTAACGGATCACACAAACCACAGCCTCCACTAGCCTGAGATCAGAAGAACTAGATGGTGCCTGGTTACCACTGACCGCTCTGAGTAGGATCACAATAGAAGGTCCTGGACAGACTGGGAGAAAAATGTAGAACAAAATACAAATTCATAAAAAACACTAGGCTGACTGGTCTGATAGATACTGGTGAAACCCCTGAGACTATGGCCCTTAGACACCCTTCAAACCTGGAAGTGAACCCACTCCCAGAGATCACCTTTCAGTCACAAAATAGACAGGCTTATAAAGTGAACAAAAACACCCGTGAGAAACGTGTTCCTCGAAATGATCAACCATACGAGACCAAAAGGGGAGCATTTGCCCAAAAGCAAAGTTCAGAAGGCAGGAAACGGGCAGGAAAGATGGGCGAGTGGGTAGAGTTTTGTCACATTAAGGGGATTGCAACTAACGTCACAAAACAAAATGTGTATACATTGTTGAATGGGAAACTAATATGCCCTGTAAACTTTCACCCAAACCACAATAAAATGTTCATAAAAAGGAAGAAGCCTACAAGCCAATGGCTACTTTCCCCCAGATACTTCCTGTGGGCAGCTCACTTTAACTGTGCCTGAAGGCCTATCTCCTGGAGGCACCAGGGTAGGCCTCCCTCAATCCGCTTACCACCAAATCCTCTGTTCCTCCACCACATCTAAGCTATATTTCTACCCAATGCTGCCATGGAAAGTCTCTGACCCCTCCCTGGACCCCACATGGAAGCTGCTGGCATCCTTCACTCTGGTGGTGGCTCAGAGACAGATGTGGGAGTATCATCTTCCCTCATTAAGTCTATAACAAGAGCTGGTGGGGTTTTAGCTGAGCCAGAGCACGTGTTCCCACAGTAAATATGTGAAAAGAGAGATTAGTGCCAGATCCTGTTGGCTCTCAACTCTGCCTCCGTTCTCTAAGCAGCTGCAGCATCTGCCCTAGGCTCCAGAATGCATTCTGACCTGAGGTAAAGCTGCTACTCTAGGTCTAACCATCAGGTCCTCCTTGCTAAAAGTCTGACCCTGACTTTGTACCCCAATTAGATTGTTGTTGTTGTTGTTGTTGGGTCCCGTCAAATCAATTCCAACTCATAGCAGCGTCATGTGACAGAGTAAACTGCCCCCATAGGGTTTTCTAGGCTGTAATCTTTACAGGAGCAGATCACTAGCTCTTTCTCCTGAGCAGCAGCTGAGTGGGTTCGAACTACCAACCTTTCAGTTAGCAGCTGAACACTTAACTGTTGCACCACCAGGGCTCCTCTCAATTAGATAAGGAAAATTTTAATCTGTTTTTCTGAGAAAACCAGTTGCCATTGAGTCCATTCAGACTCATGGCGACCCCATGTGTGTCAGAGTAGAACTGTGCTTCACAGGGTTTTCAATGGTTGATTTTTTTGGAAGTAGATCACCAGGACTTTCTTCCTAGGCACCTCTGGGTAAACAAACTGCCAACCTTTTAGTTAGCAGCCAAATGAGTTAACCGCTTGTACCACCCAGGGACTCATTTTTTCTGAGACTCAGTTGCTTGTCCCCAAATTCTGGCGACCTATCTTTTGCTCCTAGTGCCTAAGTGGCTGCCTTAACAATGCACAGAGCTGAGGCTTTTGCTTTGAATTCTTTAATGTTTCTCCTCTCCAACCTCTCCTCTGTTTCCCCCAAGCCCAATGTACAAGGGCTGGAGTCCTCCTGCCTGTGAGTTTAGCCCAGTGTCTGGGGTCCTTCTGTCTATTGACAGGTTCTTTTGAAGCTGACTGCTTACCTGGGTTTCTCAATAAGATCTATCCTTAGATGTCCCTATTGTGGCAGTTCCCCTGTTGATTGGGAAAACTCCTAACTCAGATTGGAGTCGCTGACATCAAAGGCTCATCTCCTGCCATGCCCCCTGAGGCCTGGGTTCTTCTGTCTCCACATCGGAATCACAAGGCCTGGTAGGTCACACCCGATTGGAGTTAATCAAGAATGTCACAGTATGATTCTCAGGCTTACCCATACAGCCCGATTTAATCCAATTTTAAAATACCGAGCTATATCGGAAGGCTGTTCAACCCAACCAAATATTATTTATAACAATAATTATTTGCAAAAACACATTACAACCACCAAACTACGAATACATGCTTTCAAACCCATCATCTTCTATCCAATGCACCCCTCTGACTGTTCTTTCTAAAATGCAAGATGGCCCATGTCATTCCCCAGCTTAAAGTTTTCTCAGTGGCTCCCTATGACCTTCAAGCTTTAACCATACTGTACTTTGGTTCCTGTACTTTTGGTCCCTCTCCCCTGCCCCTGTCACACTTGACCCCCTCTAACCATAATGGGCCACTTGCCCTTTGCTGAATGAGTGATATGATCTCAGCATTCTTCACCTTTGCACCAACTCTTCTCCCTTGTTTATCACCAGGGTAAGGCCCATCCATCTCTGTTGCCTCAGTTCACATGTGAGTCCTCTTCTCCACGATCTCTCACCTTGCCTGCTGCCTAAGCAAATCTGGGTTACATGCCCTTGCTCCTAACTCCCACAGCATCCCAAGCTTCCCTGTAGCATAGCACTCATTTTGTATTGTTCTTCTCTCTCTACATGCCTTTCTCCCTGTCTTTGTATCCCCAGAGCCCAGAGCAGGGCTTGACAGATGGTTGCCCTGTCCCTCTTGGACAGAAAGCCCTGTCCTCATAGCAGGCTCTCAGGCACCACCTGTCCTATGCTGCCATATCTCTGAGAGCCTGAAACTCAGCCAAAAACTGTTGTTTGTAAGCTGAAAACTGACAGTACAGGTAGTCCCC